AATAATTACTGGTACTTTATTTTCATGAGCTGCACATACTATTTTTTTAATATTTTAACTCACTGATTGTTACCTAGAAGTAAAGCTCTGATAGAGCTTACTATTTTAACTTATAAGGATCTTATTAAATTTAAAGTTATTGCACCTGTGAACATAAACAGTAACATAGCAAGCTTATCTGAGATGGTGCCTGGGAGGCAAGACTTTGTTTATATTAAGGAGTACCTATATATAAAGAGTGCTTACAGCTGTAAATGACTAAAAATAGCTTTCTTGTTTTCTCTTATCAGTTCCAAGATCAGTAACCATTCTCATATTACATAACCAATTCGATGTTGATGAAGCATTACATAGAGTAGGTTCAATTACAAAAAATGTAATAAAACGTAAAAGTAAAGAAAATAAAAATATTACTGACCCATTGCACTACTATGTGTGTAATTTATTAGTTAATTTTGTACTTTAATTCTGGATTCATTCACGTTCAAAAAAATTAAAGTTAAGAAGACAGTGTAAAAACATCAAATTATTGGTTTTAAATATCAAAAAATTTGTCTCAGAAGGATTCCTGTTTGCTGTAAAAAAAGCTTTTCAGATACTTAGTTAACTTACTTGCTTACATTTGTTAATCTTTTAACTTAAACTTCTGAAACTCAACAGGATAAATAATTGTTAATAAACAATCTCTGAAAAAAAGAATCTTACAACGCCATACGAGTTTTAATAAGCTATTTGCTCGTTATAATACTTATTTCTCCCTCTCTGAATGAACGTAATTGGTCCGTTTACTAGTCGTAATGGATTGTACTCAATGCTTTAAACAGGGGAAAAAACATTTTTTTTTTTTTTTACATTAGTATTAGGGTGGGGTAAATTATAGTTACCTACGGGATGGGACTGTGATATCTTCAAACGAGGCTCCTTCGTATAATTATGGTGAAACTTTACGTACAAGTAAGTTCGTTTGACCGTTCAATTATTCTTTTATTTATATATATTTTACCTTAGACCATACACAGTGGCACCGCCATATGTAAGTTACTATGGGGGATTTTCAGTCAAATACCGCTTGTTTCAAACAAATTAAGAATTAAAGAAAATTCCAGGACTGCTAGTCTATCATGATGCTTGTTACAGATAAGAGTAAAAGATCATTTCACTATAAACGCGGCGAAATTTTCAAATGAAGCACAGTGAAAAGTTTGTAATTTAATTTTAGCGATGTTTTCTC